GTTAAACGCTAGCACATGTCGGCACATTTCGATATGTTATTGTTAGAACCGGTTCGTTTCTGTAACCCTGCTAGTGGGGGTTAAACACTAGTACATTCTGACGCCTACCACTGGGCGAATACATTGGCAAATTTCTGTCGCCTGCCAGTGGGTTGTTATAACATTGGCCATGACTTATAGATGAGACTACTGAACTGAATTTGATTCTGCATTAACGGTTTTGTCATGAAACGTTTTGTTATTGAACTGAATATGATTTTGCATTGACGGTTTGTCAGGAAACGTTTTGCTATTGAACCGAATTTGATTTCCGCATTAACGGTTTATCAGTGAAAGTTCTGTTATACTTATATGGTTTATCTGGCATGCTAAAAGTTTTACCCAAGGGCTATCCATATTTACTTACTGAGATATTTTATCTCATTGTTTTCCTTGTCCACCATTTCAAGAAGCGAAACCGAGGACGGGGAAATCAAGGGAAGTGACGAGTTAGAAGGCTAGCCATTTTGTAAAGTGAATATAGATTTGAGATATAGATCATGATCTTGTAAACAAAAGTTTAATTGGAGATTTTATAAATTCAGTTAATGGATTGTTAGTTACAAGAAATTTGACCTGGAGATTTTGAGGTTAAGTCATGTGGACATAGAAAAGAAATTTTGAAATATCTGATCTGAGTTACGGGATTGTCAGATGTGAATTGGATAAGTTCCGAGCCTTGTGCATTTGTGGGACTCGTCTCACAAGTGCACGGCGTCTGTCGCGCCTCGGATTTGGGTTATGGGGCGTGACAGATTTAGTGGTATCAGAGTTTAGGTTTGATTAAGATTTTGTGAGGTAAGAGCCTTGGTTTAAGTAAATACGTAGGATATGTTTTGAACTTGGCTAGTTAATGGATTTAGAATCATGGTGAGACGAGTGATGGGGTTATACAAGGGACGATTCTTATTTATGTTGTCTGAATTTTCTGATTCACTTTGATGAGATAGTGATTTAGTTAGTTCCTGTTATCTGCCGTTGGTGAGCATTTTTGAAATTTATCTTGCTCACTATGCTCTTATGACCTTGTTTGAAACTTGGTCCCTTGTGATCGTATGCTTGGTTTTGGTTGTGGCAAGATGTATAAGGCCTTCCACATTACGTCTGTTTGTTTGAGTATTCATCTGGGCATTCATACATGAATGCAAACATAGACATACATGAACATATACATGGGCATACATGCATCCACACAAAGGCATTCATACATGCATGCATAAAGGCATTCATTCATACATGCATATACATGCATTCATCCGTCCATGATCCTATATATCGGAGAGATGCTTATCCATCTCGGATAGGGTTCCATCGTTTAGTTGGATTCATCGTTAGATTCCTTGCCATGTTGTTGTGTTTGATGCGTGCCGGGTCTTGATTTAAGTCAAGGGCACCACATAATCACGCCGATAACTCTCGAGTTTAGTTACTTGTATTGAGGCGTGAAGTTATCTCCCGCCTCCCAAATGACCATTGGAAAGGATGGAGATTGAGATTATTGTTGGCTTGTTAGAGTAGTGATGAGTACCCAGTCCCCGTAAAGTGAATCTGACTATGTATCTTTGTGATTGTTAGCCATGCATCTTGTGATTGATTTCCTTGTGATAGTTGTGTTTGATATCACAGTAGTGCAACAGAAGCGTAGTAGGCTATATTCTGACCATAGAAAGTCGATGGGGCATCTGTTTTGTCTTGGATTGTGTGAAGCCATTCACCAATCTAGATGATCCTAGATTTGATTTTTGGGGACAAAACTCCTTTTTAGGAGGGGTGGATGTAATATCCCAAAATTTTGGAGTATTTTAGCATTAAATTGGGGACTTATTTGAGGAAAAATATTATTTTGGGGCTTAATCACAAAATTGTAAAAAGTTGAGGGGCTAAAAAGAAAGGAAATTAGGATAAGGATGAATTGCTTTTTCTTTTTCTTTCTCTTCCTTTCTTTCCCTCCCCATCAAACCCGCGTGCCCTGCTCTTCCTCTCCCCCGACCCTCTGCACCCAACGAGCTCCCCCCAATTACCGCCACCCATTTTCCGGCCGGAAATTCGGTAAAGCTTGGGGATTTCTCCCTATTTTCTTGTCTTAGAACACCTGTTAAACCCAGAAAATCCCAAATCTGCGTCTTCCTCCCTCTGTTGTCCGTCGGCTTCAACTTGTGGGTTTGAAATTTCTGGGTGTTTTTCGGTAAGAACAGCCCTGAATCTCCCTTTTCTCTCTTGATTTAGGCTTGGGTTTACCTTGAATTGTGTTTTGGTTTTTGGATTGAGGTAGCCGTGAGTTTTCCCCCATGGGTCCCGTGGACTTCCTCACCAACCAAGCTCGCGTTCTGCTGGCTGGAATTCTGGTTTTGATCGTTCTGTCACCGTGGCACTTGGGTTAGCCTTTTGTTCTGTGCGAGTGAGGTAAGTAAATCATGGTAAAGCCCTTCGATTTTAAAGCATGTTTTAAACTGTTTTTGAGATGGTGGCAAGGTTTAAATTGATTTTAAATTGATTTTATCAGCATCTGAATATGATTAAACTGAAATGGAAATTGTGATGGTTTTTATGAGAATTTCATTGTTTTCTGGAATTGAGCATGATTGGAATGAAATTGTTTTCGTTGCATTGAGTAGAGCATGCCTATTTGGAAATTGACTGAACTGTTTTGATGAACTGAGAGTTTTGTAAATTCTGATTTTTCTGTTAAATCCATGCTCACATGGAGATTTTCCGGTTGTTTATGAAATTGGAGATTGATTGTCCT